TGAAGCATGGCCAGTCCAGAGATGGGATATTATGTACTTACAAATCCTATTCTCAAAGACCATGTCATGACCTCGGCAAGTTCTCATCACATATTAAGCATGTAGAATATTGTCCCATTCTGTAAGAAAGGAAAGTAAATAGGACAACACAGGTGTGCGGCTGGCTGGGGTCTCCGGCTCTGCTTGGTGGCCAGCTGCAATGTGACTGGTTGGCATGACATGGACCCGAGACTCCGGCTGTGCTCTGATGTGTGGTCCTTCTGCTCAGCCGCTAAACAGACACCCGGTAGCTTCTCCGCCGGGCTCTGGGCGAGGTGCTAGGGACGCAGGTGACTCACACAGCAGCCCTGCCCTCTAGGAGCATAGTCTGTTGGGGGAGACAGACAGGCTCAGTAACGGCGTAAGTCCATCACTTACTAGGTGTGAGCCTGAGGGTGTCAGGGCAGGAGCACAGCCACGGGACCCCTTGCCCGGCCTGGTTGCTCAGGAAGGGTCCCAAGGGGAGTAACACTGGATCCTTCTTAACAGAACAATAAGAGTAGTAGAAAGGAAGCCGTTAGGGAGGCCGGCTGCCCAGACCTGCAGCGGGCAGTGGTGGTGGGGACAGAGAGCCCGGCTGACCTGAGAGTCATTGAGGACCACGATGTCCAGGCACTGGAGCAGGTGCAGGAGAGAGGAGTAAGGCAAGAAAGATGCCCAGACGCCAAGCTGCCGATGCCCTGGATAGAGAAGAGGAGGCTCCCCAGAAAATCTCCACAGCCACAGGATGGAATTCCACCAAGCTGGGCCCATGGGAACACAAAGTGAGAGCAAGCATCACAGAGCCAGAGAGTGGAGGCCCAGCTCTTACCCATAATCTGTTATCTTGCCTCAAAGGGGCCAGACAGTGGGATGGGGAGGGGGCTCAGCCCCAGACCCCCCATGTCAGGCAGAGACCTTGCAAGGCCAGGTCCTTGTAAACCTCTCAGATCAGCCACGTGGGGACAGGCAGGAGGGTACTATGTACACTCCAGGCCTTTCCATAGAGGAAGACACTGACTAGGCAATGGGCAAGCCAGGGGGGACCCTGATTTTCACTCCCACTCCCAAACCAGCCACCAGTCACAGAGCAGCACATGGGGGAAACCTCAGGGCAAGGCTTTCTGCAGGGTGGAAGGAGAGCCTTCCACTCTGCAGCCCACAACTGCAGAGTCCCTACACAGAGCCCCCCACGCTGCACCCTGCACACAACTCACCAAAGCGCTTATGCCTCTCCAGGCCCTGCACCTGTTACCAGGGTTTGGGGGAAACCGTAGAATGTTTTCAAGTTCATCTAGTAACAACAGCTAAGAAAATCTGAAGGGGGGAGAGTCCTACTAGATATGAATAGAAATTATAAAACCTGGCAGGGCGCAGTGGCTAACGCCTGTAATCCCAGCACTTTGGGAGGAGGCTGAGGCGTGGATCACCGGAGGTCAGGAGTTCAAGACCAGCCTGGTCAACATGGCAAAACCCTGTCTCTACTAAAAATACAAATAAATAAATAAATAAATAAATAAATAAATTAGCTGGGAGTGACAGCTGGTGCCTGTAATCCTAGCTACTCAGGGGCCTGAGACAGGAGAATCACTTGAACCCAGGAGGCAGAGGTTGCAGTGAGCCAAGATCATACCATTGGACTCCAGCCTGGGCGACAGAGACTCGGTCTCAAAAAAAAAAAAAAAAGAAATTATAAAACCCAAATCAGCTAAAATAGGGAAGTACCAGGCAAGACAAATGGATCAACTGAATAAACAGTGGGGAAGTTGGTCCTACTGTAGGTAAGAGTTCCCCGTGTGCGAAGGAAAGAACACACGTGACCAAGGGAGAGAAATAATTTTTAATAAGTGGACTCAGGGTGTTTGTTTAAATCTTTGAAAGACAGTCTATTCAAAGCCTCCTCTCACATGACATGCCACATTAATCCCAGAAATAACTGTGTATTAATCTAGAGGGGGAAGAAAGACCTGAAGTTTAAAGCGATGGAAGGAACAGTTGCTGATGTTTGCAGAACTGCCGATCCTTGTCTCTCTTTAGACCAGCAGTTCTCAAAGTGGGGCAAGAGCCTTTTGGAGGTCCACGAGGTAAAACCGTTTTCATAAGAATCCCAAAATATCACATGCTTTTTCCACGTCATCTCATGGGTGCAGTGGGGCTTTCAGAGGCGCCATGGCATATGCACTCTTGCAGGTTAAGCACAGCAGGTAGGAGGCTCCCACTGTCTTCTATTCAGCCAGACCTTGCAGGCATTTGCAAAAATGTCTTCTTCAATGCTTCTCCTCCCTAATGTTTTGTTTTGGAAAATAGTTTTTTTATTTAAAATGTTATTTGTGTTTTTGTTTTCCAAATAATTATTTTAAAACTTTGTTTAAATTTATAATATGGTAAATATTGTTGGATAAAACCTATGTAAGCAAAAGCTCTTTGAGGCCCTCAGTGAGTTTGGATAGTGCAAGAGGGCCCTGATACAAAATGTGTGAGAGCTGGCCTTGGCCTGTGGGCTCTGCAGTGCGGACTGCTGGATCCATGTGCGGGTCCCAGAGCGTTGCAGGTCCATGGGAGTAACTAATTCAACAAACGTGTACTGAGTACCTATCACGTGCCATGGATCCCAAGGCGTTGCAGATCCACTGGAGTAACTAATTCGACAAACGTGTACTGAGTACCTATCACGTGCCATGGATCCCAAGGCGTTGCAGATCCACTGGAGTAACTAATTCGACAAATGTGTACTGAGTACCTATCACATGCCAGGCATTGTCATAGGTGCTAGTGCTACGGCCATGAACAACACAGACAAACTCTACCTGCCTGCCTTGTGTTCTTGTCTAGCAGACACAGTGCTGTGGAGACAGATGGACTATGTCAAAATCTCAATAAGATAAAACACACACACTAAGTAAAAACCCAGAAACAGCTGCAGCAAATATGACACACACCAGGTTAATATGTTTAATATACACCGAGCTCATCGAAATGTATCAGACCCCAGAAGACAGAGCAAAGGACACTGACAATCCACAAAGGAGGAAATACAATCGCTTCACATGAAAGCTGCTCAGCTGTGCTAGAAATCAGTGAAACGCCAACTGAAACACAATGCTATGTTTTCATTATCAAATTAGCAAATATTTAGCCAGATGATAATTCCCAATACGGGCAAGATGGACATGTTTATCCTTGCTGGTGGCAGTGTAAGGGGATACAAATGTTTCTGGAAACCATTTTGTCAATATGCAGTAAAAGCCTCAAAGGTTTTCATATTCTTCAGTTCAAGAATCCCACCTCTGGGAGTCTACCCCAAAAAAATAACTTGACATTGGGAAACAGCCTGTGCAGATATTCATCAATTTATAAATGAAAAATCAGTAACAGCATTAGTGATCGGCAACTGGCACGATGGTCCATCTAGTCGATGGAGGAGTACACAGCCACTCCAAAATAAAATATTTAGTAATCAGAAGGGGAGATGCCCCCGATATGCTAAAATAGCTGCACAGAACTGTATTATTACAGAAGACAGCAGCAAAACTATGTTAAAACAAAATGCAAAGAAACTATAGTTGGGGGGGAAAGCCTGAGAGACACCAAAATGTGATGTTTTACTTCCTTCTTTCCTCTACTTGCAAAAATTTATCTAACATGTGGTTTACACGGATAATGAGAAGACCTAGTAGGTTTGGTGCTTGTGTATGCAAAGGCATGAGGCACACGTTAAGTGAGGAGCTGGGTTTCCTCCCATCTCTACCCCATCTGTGCTGTGCCGACTGCCACCCCACCCAACCTCAGGTCCCCAAGAAACAGTGTCACGCGGGCTGTCTGTTCCACATGGAAGGCCATACACCCCAATCTTCTCCCCTACTCTGGGGAGCTTCTCCTGTTGGCCCAACAGTCTGCTCTTGCTTCCCTTCCCCAGGAGACCCACCTTGTGCCTACCTCTCTAAGTCCCTAAACCAGTGCTCTCCAAGCAGAGGTGCCATGGGCCTTACGGCTGTGGTTGTAGATGGAGGCGCCTCTGCTAGGATCTCTTCCCTCTTCCACCCAGAGCTCTGCCCCCAGTCGGTGGCTGCAGCATGGGCCCTTTCGTCCAGTCCCAGGGCTTGTTCCCTAAGTTAACCTCAGCACATGCCTAGCTCAACCCATATCCCTTCATTCCCCTAAAGGCTGGAACTGCCAGGGTGGTGCCCACCCAAGGCAGCTCTGTCTGCCATGACAACAGGAGCTGGTCCTGCCACACTTTCTGGGTTTTGTTTTCCACTCCTCCTCACTGCTCAATACATACTTACCTGGGGACAATGAAATAGGTCTTTGCTGTTTCCTAGAAGTCACCAAAATGTTTCAGGACATTAAGTTAGTCCCAGGGTCACACTATACTAGGCCACGGAGTCACCCCTTCACTAACTTCCATCTCCAGTGATGCCCTGGTATGCAATGAAGCTTACTTACCAGAGGGGTACCATGTGGACCAGAGAGCAGTCACAATACAGTCCAAAGATGTCACAACCATGGAAAAGAGAACTTGCCTTCACGTGCGCTGTTGAACACTACTGCCTGTCCGTTTTACCAATCAATACCTGTTCTCCTAAAATTTAGAGAAATTATAACCCCAAAATATGTACAAAGCACTCCCTTCCCCCACTTTGTTCTTCAGCCTGATCCCCAGTCACTGAGGTCTCCCTCTGGGGCTACGCCTCATCCTCCTTAGCTGGACACTAAGGTATCTTCCACTAGAGCCACCACGGGGTCCTCACCTCTCCAATGTGGGCTTCTTCCAAGTTCAAGTTGAAGGGCAAGCCCCGACCTCTCTCATCTGCTCCATGTTCCCAAGTGCAGGGAGCTATCAAGAAGGTCCTAAGCACACATCAGCACTCCTCCCAAGCCCGCACACATAAGCACCGAGAGAAAAAACACAAATCACCAGCCAAACGAAGGTGGGGCAGCCGCTTGGATCGGGTGCCCATAGGCAGAGGACCCGGCTGCAGGTGTGGACAGGGAGTGTGGACGGTCTTTCCTAGGCAGCTCTGGGGTGTGGAGCAGCACAAGCCTGACACAGACATGGTATGGCTTTTAACAAGCCACTTGGGTAGAGCCAGGGCTGGCGACACGGCAGAGTTCCCACCCTGCTTCCATGCTGGGCTGGGCCACATGGAAACCTTCCAGATGCCTTTTCCCAGGTGCCACTGTACCCCTTCACTTGGGGGCACCTCTGCCTGGCAGGTACTAGTCTTACCAATACAGCTGCTGGAGACAGAACAGAACTGGGCACAAACAGAAAGTAATCTGTACACCTCCCATTCATGGAATGGTGGCCCCACTGTGTCCTCCCTCCGTCCATACTTAAAGAGCACCATGGTCCCACCTGAACAGCCTTGGCTGGAGTCCAGGGGAACCTAAAGCCTGTATTCAGGCAGTTGTTCAGCAGGGCAATTGGGCTAACAAAGTTGATGATGAGTGGGTGGCAGTAGTCTGCGGACCCCAGCAACCACTGAATGTCCTTGCCCTTGCAAGGCAGCGGTTCTTCAGAATCGCAGTCACTTTTCCCAGCGTCATCAAAACTCTTAAGAAGCCAGGTCCAAGGACCCAACCTCTGGGGTCCCAAGACACATACATGTCTTTAGGTGGGTATGGAGGTTGTCCTTCTGCAGTCAAGCCAGGACCCTTCAGACAGGGGCAGATGAGCCCAGGATAAGAATCCCTACGGTCCAGGAGGTCATGTCAATATGTTCCATTTGGCATTGAAATATGGCGGAACAGCTCAGTCCACAGGGCATGGCCAAACTCAGCCACAAAATGATTTCTTGGTCACCCCTCTTGTGAGGAAGGACCAGGTCCTTCAGAAGCAGGACATGCATGCCAGTGCTGCATTGTCACCACACTAAGACGACGACAGTCCACAGCTCTTTGCTTTTACATATGCCACCAAGACCCTGGCAGGGTTGCCAGAGGCAGACACTCCCCGGCCTTAAGTGCTTAAGGATGTTTCCCAAAGGGAGTCTGTTTTCTCTTGGACAAAGGCAGCCCATCTGATTGCCCAGGCATGGGAAGGACATGCTACAAGGTGCCTTTGGAGACCCACAGATGGTGTGTGAGTAGCTGCAGGGCTGCAGTGAAGGCCACATGGCACCTGAATGGAGATGGGAACGGGTCTCAAGCTGGGCAAGGCTTGAGACAGTGACAGGGTGCAGAAGCAGGAGTGACTGAGCATCAGCCGATGTGGCACTGCCCATGGAGATTCTGGGCAGCAAAGGGAGTCACTGGTATCCACCCTCAGCCTGCTATGGCCCTCAGGTGCAAGTGTGCTGGAACCTGCAGCCTGATAGACTTGACCAGTGGCTGAGAGTCCACCATGACCTTATTTAGCAGGCAAGTTCCAGATTCCCCAAACTTCTGGCTCGATCAGAACACCAGCAGCTGAAGCCAGGCATTAACAGAGGTGCAACACTGGTCCTTCCCAGTGAGAGCAGTGGGGCCTCCCAGACTGCATACTCACATGCAGAGTGGAACCTGGCCCCTGGAAATGGTAGAACTACACTCCTAGCAGTGACCACTCGACCACTACAGCACGGATGAGGCCCTGCCTGCTGCACTGGGCCCTGGCAGGGCTGGCAGGCATCTTGGGTGGGAAGCCAGACTCCCTCTCCAGGTACACCCATCAAGCCACCAGCCTGGCCAAACTGGCATCTTTCTGTCCAGAGCTCATCAATAGGAACTGGGCAACCAGGTGGGGAGCCGCCAAAGGAGCTTGGAGAGGGCAGAGTAGGAGCCTCCATGAACCAAGTCAGGCTGGGAGGGGTCAGCCCTCGTGGTTTGTCAGCGTGCGGCAGAGTCCCTGTGCCTAAGCAGCAGAGCGGCAGTCATTCAAACAGCCCGGGATGCCAGCAAGAGGGAGGTGAGCATGCAGTGAGCGATAGGTACAAAGCTAGCACATAAGAGGAAGCGCAGCAAGGTGGGCAACCAGGGCGCCAGGAGGGATGGAAGGAAGATCTCCTTGGGGAACACATCTGGAGAGGCAAGAAGGGAGGTCTTCAACAGGGGCGATGCTGTCCTATGGGCATTTCTTCTACACAGCAAAGAGCGTATGCTACCTGGGTGGCTGCAGACGCTACCAAGTGGTGGCGGATTCTTAAAGATTCCGTGCTCGGGCAGGCAGGGCTGGCGCTGGACTAGTCCCGTTGGAAGCTGGATGCACTGGGCAAGGCCCCGTGCCCGCAGCGGCCAGCTGACGGCAGAGCATCTGCCTCTCTCGCACGGCCCTGTTAGAGGCAGAAGTCTTTCTGATTTGGGCGCGCCGCGCATGCCGGAGCGGAGACTTGTAGGTTCTCCGCAACTCTGCCAGGAACCCCTGATAGTTGTTGCGCAAGGGGCTGTCAGGTTGCATGTGCGGGATAGCCCACTTCTCCGCCTCCCCAGTCAGTCGAGACACAAGGAAGGCCACGCGCTCGGCCTCACCCGGGAAGCGGGAGGCCTGGAAGATCATGAATCTGTCCATCTGCATCAGGAACCCCGCCAGCTGGCCTGGGTCCCCGGAAAAGGGCTCGGGCAGAGAGGTTGGAGGTGTGGTCATGGGTCGAGTCCCGTTTGAAGTAATTGCAGAGATGGGCGGGGTGATCTGCAGAGCCCCCGGGATCCGCGCCCTGGTGCGTAACAAGGTCAGCTCTGCCATCACGCTCTCCAGCATGTTGGTGAGACTGGCCTTCTCTGCCCGCAGGGTGGAGGCCTCCCGCCGCAGCGCTGAGTTGGTGAGGCGCAGGGAGGTCAGGGTGTCAATAACATCATCCATCTGGGCGTTCGGAGACGCTGCCGAGGCCGGGCTTTCAGCTTTGGATGTCTGCGGCTGCACCATGCTGGCCAGAGGTCAGCCACGGACTGAGATCCGCGGGTGGGCCAAGGGGGTGTGGTGACCAGGTGAGCCCCTGTAGAAATGGCGGCAGCGTGGGGTGCACAACGCGAGGGCGCTGCGA